TCAACCAACAACCTACCCTGTAATTTCAGCCAGGCCAGAGAATCTGGGATCAGACAAGCCAGGTAACAGCGATGGTGAAACTCCACCCGCAGATCAGGTCATACCACAACCACCAATTTAGTTATAATTTTAGTCAAAAAAAAAGCTCTTAACTTTTAATTAGTGTTGAGTGTCAGCTCTGCCCAGGAGAATATATTACAGGACTGTCACACAAACACTCATTGAGCGAGCTCCAGCCCTTGGCAAGCGATGCCATGGGGTATTTAGGATGCAGTTTGCTGAGGAATGACAAGGAGTACGGAGCTGGGATTGCACACTGCCTCCCAAGGATGCAGCCTGCTGCCAGAAGGTGTTTCCTGGAATGACAGGGATGCTGTCAATGTGCTCTGCCTGCTGAAAAAACAAGGGAACAGTTACAGGTGACTGGGGTACAGCACAAGCCACAATCCTTCTCCAGCACCCTCCATTCCGCAGGGGAGAGAGGAGAGATTGTGGTGAGGCTGTTCCTGGTTGATTTGGGAAATCACTTTGGACAGAAACATAAACAGATCACCTCTGCTGCTCAGGCCAAAAATCCTTATAAAGATTTGTATGTACACACCACTCACACCCCAGTACATGAAAGGGAAGACACAGAATATTAAGGCACAGCAACATTAACTGGGAGTTTGGCAGAACTGTCAAACAGAAGAGGAACAATAATTAATCAGAGCAACAGAGAAAATCAGACAACTGATGAGCTTTCAATATTTAACCACTCCTGCAGAAATAACACAGAGGCAGACACCCAGGAACCCACACACACTGCAGAGCCCAGCACGTGTTCTCACTAAGGGAATCCTTGGTATGGTACAAATATGTATATTCTAATTGGAAATTTAAATAAGAACCTCTTCAGCTGCCATTCAGCACGTTCAGCAAATGATGCAACTCACGAGTTGTCACCTACACTACATGATCCTCAGCTGCTCTAGGCAGTACCATTCAAGGAATAAATTTATAAATGAAACCAGAGCACTTGCATGGGCGAGGAAACAAAGCACTCCCCAAAGGTAACAGTCACTGCCCTCATGCAAGTCTCTGTAAATAGAAAGCAGTGATGTGAGTGCCAAAATCAGACTGCTGCTGCCACCAGAAACCTCTCTCATCCTCAGTCCGCCTGTAGCTTCAGCCTCTCTTCCAGCTGCACCTCACTCCCCAACAATGCAAAATAACGTGAGCTGATGAGAAGCACTTGGTCCTCAGCGCTGCTGGACCATGAGGCACAGGCAGAAGGAGAAGGGACATGGGAAGGAGACGCCGCGCAGAGGAGAAGGAGCTCGTTCACAACACCGACAGTGCTCCCTCAGAAATCTGATTTATTTCATATCTCACGGCTTCCATGTTCATTACTCCCTGCCCCTTCTCACAGGCATTTAAGGCTCACAAAATCTGTGTTTCTCCTCTTACCTCTTCCACTTGCTCCTCTGGTGTCTGTTCTGGAGACTCCACCTCATCCTGCCTTCCTGCACTTACAGAGGCTCCGTCTACACTTCCCTCTTTTCCCAGACTCAAAACACACCCAACCAACCTCTCACCTTCACTCTATTGAAGCATTTCCACCTGCTCCTGCCCTCATTGGATGCTTCCTTCCCACCTCCAGCTCAGACATTCCCTTCCTGCAAAGCCCTCTGGTGACACCACCTCCTGCCTGTTACCGGGATGTGCAGATGTGGGAGCCACAGCTGGCAAGGACCAGAGCATGGGGAGAGCACGCAAGGGAAGCATTAAATCCTGCCACTTCCTCCTCTCTGCTTTCTGAAGCGAAATAAAACCGCAGCTCGCTAATGGCTGGCCCAAGCATCCCCACTGTGCTGGCAGCCCTCACCTGGTGCTCCCCACCACTCACCAACAGCCCTGAACAAGCAGAAAAAAATGGAATTTTGTGCCAGCTACACCCAGCCCTGCCTGAGCAGGCTTTGGGAATTTCAGCCCTAAAACCAAGTGAGAAGCACGGGCTGCAGTGACACATGTCATAACATTTTTTGTTCTACTGTAGGAGGTCAGCAAAAAAGCTTCTAAAATCAGGGGAGGTTTGTTCCCACTGGTTTTTAATCTTAAACAGCTGTAATAATGTTCCAGGGGGGAGCAAAGGACAGGCTGGGCATTAGCGTGATGGGAGCTGAGACAGTCAAAATATGAAGCATATAAAAATAGAGCTCAGTATGAAAAGTGTTTCAGTTTAACTACCAGTTTCACCACTTTAAATTACTTCAGGGCCTTAAATATCCAACTAATAGTAAACAGAATTTTAACATTATTTGCATCCCCGTGCACTGGCATCCAGATTGTTCCCGAGCTTGGATCATCGGTACAATTCTTGGAAAGAAAACCTGGCTCATCCTATGGTTAATTCCTGTAACAATGTGTATTTTCATGAGCTGTTTTTTTTTCAAATACAACACACGCTGAGGTGACCATATTATAATTTTTTTTTTCTTTAACGCCAGAAACGGATTTAGCAATGCAATTATACTGACTTCATTTGCATTAACAGAGACTCCACCAAAGCAAAGGATTATGCTTATATCTTTTGAGGAGAAATACATACATGTGTATGCACGGCAGAAGGGGAAAAAAAAGGGACTTCCTTGAATTCAGTACATCAATAATGTACCTTGTTAAGTGAAGTCATTTAAATCCGAGTCTTCTTAGCATCAAGGACAAGAGACAGCTCAGTGTTTGCCCGGACAAAACGAGCCCTAGGAGGCCGCCCAGCACAATGATGGTCCAGAGGTGAGAGAATGCAGCCAGTTTAGAGAAGATAAAAGGCCATTTGGGTAGAGACCCCCGCTGATCCTATGAAAGTGTCTCCTTTTCAATTTGGGAGGCTTTTAAAACTGCATTTGCTACTGACCATACCTTACCCTGAAAGCCGCCTGGGATCCGATTTCACTTTTTCCCCCCCGCCCGGAGAGGGTCGGCAGCCGCCGGCTGTACCGCAGGTACCGGCGCTCCCTGCAAGTCCCACCAGCCCCTCGCACAACACCGCACAACTCCCGGCAACGAGAATAATCCGAACCCCGCCGCGAACCCAGCAACTGAATAAACTCCTCTGCGGCCGGGAAACATCGCTTTCCCCGCGATCGCCCCGCAGCTCCTGCCCGCGGGATGCTCGGCCGGGACCGGCTCAGCACCGAGCCCCCAGCCCGGAGCTGCCCCGGGGCACGGCGGCCTCAGCCCCCGGCCCGGGCTCCGCCCCCTCCGCCACTGCGGAAGCCGCTTTTGGCTACTCCTATTGTGTAAATTACAAATAAAACAAGAAACTGCCNCCGCGGGACGCGGAGCGGGGCGCCTCGGATCGGTCCTCAGCGTCTTCCGAAAAGTCACCGCTCTGCCGCCTTTGATTTTACTCTTTTAAAACTTTTTTCTTTTTTTTTCCCCCTTTTTATTTTATTTATTTTATCAGTGTTGAACGTCTCCTTTCGCAACCCCCCGGAGCCATCCGTGCCACGGCACCGCCCAGCACGGCCTCGTGTCAGGCAGCGAGCCTTGAGGAAATGTTTGTCGTGAAACTGACTCGGGCAATAAACAAATAAAAATGAATGGAAGGAACGGCGGCAAAGCCACCCCATGGCACACACAGCTGCGCTCCCTGGAAGAACAAAAGGGATGAGACGATGAGCCAAGATAACCTGGAGAAACACTCTCAATGGGGCAGGAATCAAAGAATCACAGAATGGTTTGGGTTGGAAGGACCTTAAAATCCATCCAGTGCCAGCCCAGCCATGGCAGGGACAGCTCCCACTGTCCCAGGCTGCTCCAAACCCATCCAGCCTGGCCTTGGGCACTGTCAGGGATCCAGGGACAGCCCCAGCTGCTCTGGGCACCCTGTGCCAGGGCCTCACACCCTCACAGGGAAGAATTTATTCCTGATTTCTAATCTAAACCTAATTCCCTTCAGTTTAAAGACATTCCCCCCTTGTCCTATCACTATACCCTTGTAAAAAGCTGTGTTGCCACGTGCAAGGCAAGCCCTGCATCCAGTAACGTAGCAGCATATTGAAATGCTAGAATCACAGAAAAAGTAAATTTGGAAAGACCCCCAAGATCATCAAATCCAACCATTAACCCAGCACTGCTAAGCCACGTCCCCAGGAGCCACCTCCACACACTTTTGAACACTTCCAGTGGTGCTGATCCCATAGCTGTCCTGACCTTCCTCACACCTTCCCTCCTGACCAGCAGGAACCAAGCTGCACCATCAGGTTGAATTAGGAAAACTCAAACAAGGACTAAATTTGGGGAGTGAAAGCCAAATTTCCATTGTGCAGCACCTGGAGGTACTGCCCAACAAATCCAAGAAGCCAAAAACCAGGCCCACGCAAAACACACACCCTCCAGATTTACTCTTTGTTAATTAACACTTTATAATTGTGCAGGTGTAGAAATGTTTAAATAAATCTGGCTTGTAGAGACTCAAGGGCTTCAATAACCCACACCCACAGTTACATTTTTAAGAGTCCTACCAGAGCCACTTGTGTCCTGTAGCAGTAAATTCCAGGAGTTAACAGTTCATCCAAGCATTGATGCAACATATTAATTACTGCAATCATATCCTATTTCCTTGAAATGTGGTTTCTTTCTGCTTTAATGTTTGATTTTTTGACTTCTCCCAGGTGCTGGTGCTCACAGCAATTCCTCATCCCACTTTGTCAAGGATGGGAGCTGGGGCAGATCTGAAACTTGCTCCTCCCAGCAGCGTCTGCAACATCTCTGAGGGACATCAGCAAAACTCTCTTTCATTTGATTTTAATAAATGAAATATAATTCTTCCTGTGCAAGAGCTGCATCAGCTTATCCTTGGCTTTCGTTCATTTAGGTGATTTATGGGCCTGAGATAATTTTTATTTATATTTTTATATATATATATAGATGTATTTTTAGTCAATATTCCTGAGAATACTGGTTTAGCCAAAGCAATCCAAACCCAAAGGATGCCTCCCAAAGCTGCCCTAATTGTTACCTTCTATTTCCATTGCTGAAGCAGCATTTGCTCCTTGAAAGTCGAGGATTTTTTCTTTCCATTGTGCTGAAGCTTCTGGACTTCTGTTGGAAAATCTTTCCTGGGCCCAAGTGAGAGGCAAAACTCAGCCAAATTCACACTTAGTGCTCATTTTCATATTACATTTTACTTTGTTTATTAGATTCACCAGTGTAGGACACAAAGGTTTTAAATTTTGAGAAGCCAAGTGCTTTTTCAATATCCTGGCCAAACCACACTTTAAAAAAAAAATTATTTTATTTCTTATATAGGCCCATGCTTGAAAACTTCATATCAGAACTTTGTAATAATAATAATTATGAACCTTGTTAGATAATTAGTTATCAAATCATTGTCACAGCCAGAGCTCAGTCAGTAGCCAGTTGCATTCAGAACTCCAAGGATTTCCAAGTCATCCCATTCCTGCACCCCATCACAAGGTTAACACACAAATAGACATTTTTTTAATAAACTAACCCCAGAAAATGAATGAGGCAATTGTCCTTTGGCTTCCAAAGCCCCGAGATGCTGCTGGTGTGGAGGGAACCGACTGAACAGGTTTCACATTTTCCTGTACAACCAAAACCCACTGAGTGCAGAGCCCTGGGGGCAAAGCCAGGCTCCTCCTGCAGTTCCCATGTGCTTCCTGCCTCCTCTCTGCCTCCCTGGAGCAGCAATCCAGCCTCCAGCACCCAGCAGTTCTTCCAGGATGTGGGAATCAGACCCAACGTGCGTTTCCAGCCCAGGGATCCACCAGTGGGGTGTTTCTAAACCTGTTGGGCTCGTGCTCAGTCAGTGGCACACGACAAAGTGGTGAGGGAACGAGAGGAAAAATCTCCCTTCAAAATGCTATGGGGGAAAGAGATAAAATAAAAGACCCCAAAATTCAGATTCTGTGATCTTTGGGTGTGAGTTAAAGCTGCCAATTCAGATAATCTGATGTTTGCCACCTGCTTTTTCAGGGCTGTGGATTAAATCTGTCTCCTACCGTCATAGAATCATGGAATTGTTAAGGTTGGAAAAACCTCTGGGATCATCCAGTCCAGCACCACCTCCGTGTTCACCATTAGACCATATCCAGTGCCACATCCACACGTGTCCTGCACACTTCCAGGGATGGTGACTCCACCACTGCCCCAACCAAGCCTTACCCATGAAGAATTTCCTCCTGCTACCTAATCCAACCTCCCCTGGTGCAAAGCAAAGCCAGTTCCTCTCATCCTGACATTTTGCTTTGGAATAAACCCTGGAGAAAAGGAGGATCACCCTTGCTGGGCTTGTGGCATCCCAAAATTGGAGTGTGAGCTGCTGCAGGCCGGAGAGGGAGGTAGGATGAGGAGCTCTGCTCTGCTAAAAGCATCAAAAACACAGCAAAATTGAGGCCAGGCTTGAAAAACATCCCTTTTTCTTTTAGAGAACGTGGAAAAAGAGCTGGAGCGTCAGTGCTGGAGTATGGGAAGAGGAGGAACATATGTCAGACATAAATCCCAGCCCCATGGTGGGAGTAAACTCGCTCTGACAGCAGCACAGGCAGATGCCAAGCGGGTCAGTCGGGAAACAGAGCAAGTGGGATGGCTCTGGAATAGCTGGAGCACGCAATGGCCCTGGAGAAAAATACTATTCCTGTAGGGAATGACTCAGTGTGGCTTATTAATGGTGTATCCCCTCTGCAGGGATCGGGGTATTACTGATGGATCTTCTCCAGTTGCTCTGCAGAGAAATATTTCATTTCTATTCTGAAAAGTGGGATTCTTCTCTCCCCAGGCTGTGCTTCCTTCACTCACTGGCACGTCCCTGGACTCTCCCAGCAAACTGGGAGCACCATGTGTTGAAAAAATGTGGTCTGGTCACTGGAAAATCCCCTTTTTGGCACTTTTTTAATGGTACTAATCTTCAGGCCTGCAAACGACACAATAGACACTCCAGAAGGTTATTAGGTAGTTAGAAGATAGTTTGGAATAATAAAATATTTTGGAATAGCAGCCCAATCCTCCTCACAGTCCTTTCTTTAACTGGTCATGTGCAAACTGCACATCCAGAAACCCTCACAGGGACAGAGCAGCTCCCAGGCCCTCCCCAAGAAAGGAACTGAGGAACTCTTTGTGGCTCTCATCTCTAACCTCCAGGCAAAGGCTAAATTTAATCCTTTGGTGCAAGCCCAGAATAAAAATAGAGAAAATGAAAGTTTGCACGAGGCTCCTACTTTTTGCTTTGCTGCAATTCTTGCCCTGTATCATCTCCCAGTTCATGTGCTTCATTCGATTTTCTCATCTGACCCCTTTCCAATTTGCCTTAATTTGATTGTGGCCATCAGCACACGGGCCAAGTCTGAGGGCTTCGTTGATTTTCATGTTTAGTTTCCCATCCCTCTCATTATGTCTCTAAATATTTCCTCTGGAAATAACAGCTCTGTGTTAGTTTTGGCTGCAATTCTTGCTTCCCCAATAAGATTGATCTCTGCTCACTCCTGAGAGTTACGAGTTGCACGCTGGATTAAGCCAGGGGTAGCAGCTCTAATTCTTGGATTTAGGGTGGAATTTTTCGAGTAGCAGTTGATTCATGCATCCTCTAAACCTTGTTTTCTTCTGTGGGGACGACAAAAATCAGAAATAACAGTTCCTTGAGCGTATTTCATTAATTCCTGATTGGGAGAGCGCCTGTATAACTGTTTTTAGCTCTGCACTCTTACAAGCACCCATTTTCACAAAGATTACCTATAAGGCTCAAAACTCCAAGTTTTATCTCCTAGAGCAACATCTGCCCACTTCATCAGTCATTCCCCTGCAGATTACAACCAGCAATGAAAATGGAAAAAAAAACCACCTTGGTCTCCTCCCTCTGCAGCAAGTTTGCCTGTGAGAGCATTCTTTCCACAGCACCATCATCACCAGATAATATATTTAATATATTTAATGAAAGCCATCACGTGCGTGGTGTGGGATTTCAAAGTGAGCATTGTGCCCAGCTGCACGGCTCAGGACTGGGAAAACCTGATGTGAGCAGCACAGAATCGCTGCTGAGGGCTCTGATTTTACACTGAATTTTATCCTAAATATCCCAGGGATGGGGGGAAGGGAGAAAACAAACAGGGAGGCTTCAATTTGCAGGGCTGAAATTTTTAAGAGTTAAACACGGGGAGAAGCAGAGCCCACGAGGCAGAGGAAGGGCTGGAAGTTGATGGAAAAGCCTGAGGATCTTGGTTTGCTGCTCCTGAAGGTCCCAGAGAGAGAAAGTAGAAGACAAAGCCAGAAGTTTTGGAGCTTTCTGGTATTCCTGTAAGGAATTTACAGGTATTTTCTTACCTGTCGCTTATTTGAGGTCTGGGCACAAGAACATCTCTTTCTCCTGGAAAAAAAAAAAATCAGTGTGGGGTTTAACCTTGGTGTTAAAGCAAAAATTCATGATACAGGGCAAAGAATCACAGGATGGCACCTGGAACAGACACCATTTATTCCAGCAGCTTTGGATTATTATTATTATTATTATTATTATTATTATTATTACAACCAGAAAAGCATTGATGGCATTTTTTTAACCACTTTTCCAGCAGTCCTGGTAATTTCTAAGTCCTGACCTTTACACAATCCCATCATTGCCTGAGGGAGAGCTGTCTGGCTGTGAACAGTTCACCTGGCACACATCAGGGTGTTCAGCCTGTTCCTGCTGTACCCCACCTGAGCTTTGTGCTTTCCCAGCCTGCAGGAAAAGCTGCTGGAGCCTCTTCCCCAAATTGTGATTCCATCTCATCCCAGCTCCAGGCTGGGGAGCTTTCCTTAGCTCAGCACATCTCCTTAGCCCATTAAAGACCTGGGATATTTTAGACCATAAAATACCCTTTTAACAGCACAGTTTAATGGGAATTCCATTAGGGATGGATGAGGATCACCAGGAATGACCCCAAAAAATTGTGAAGGAGAAGCAAACTCCACTTAAAACAAGCTGAAGGAAATCTTTGAGCCCCCCTGGTTTTGTCCTGAATCAAGACCACGTGGATTATTAAGCATTATTTTCATGGTTATGGGTGAAAGGACAGGCCCATGCTGTGAAACAAAGGATACAAATTTCTAATTCCCATTTCTTGATCTTTTCATTCTTCCGTGGTTTTTCTCATTCACAGAAATATTTTAGCTACTAATGGGTGCTTATAAAAAGTACAGACCTAAAAATGGGTCCTGGAAAGAGCAAACATGGTTAGGAAGGTGCTGCCAGTGAGATTATTGCTCAAATCAAAACATTGCTTGCTTGCGCTTCTTTCATTTTAGGATAATTTGAAAAATGTTTCTAAAAATAGCATTAAATGCCTTCTCTTTTTTTTTCCTTTCTTTTTTAACTTGTTTTCAGTGTCATTTTGTACCCTGCACTGGACTAAGGGCACTTTTCCCTCAGCAGCAGATGCTCAGGAACCACACATGAACTCTGATTATATATGAGCAATAGTTTTCCAGATACTCATAATTTGGCTAAATTTGGATTTTCACAGGTGTTTCAAAGAGCACATTCTTGGCCAGCGTGGCAAAACTTAACCAATCTCAGCTTCTCTCTTCTCTCAACAAATCAGCTTTGTTTTTTTGTTGTCTATAACCTCAGCTGAAGAAATGGCTGAACCTTTCAGCACAAATATCTTGGAGCCTGAAGTGAAAAATAGCTCGGAGCTTTCCAGCACAAATAGGGGAAAAAAGAAACACTACCCAGCCTGCAAACCTGGATCTTATCATTGGGAAATGGCAGGCAGCCTTGGGAACAGGCACTGCTAGGGGCAAGATTTGTAATAATTCTGATATTCTGATCTCTTTATCTTCCTGCTGCATCTCTGCTTTTATCTTCCTGTTGATGCCACGGAATTCCTGGCACCATTTTATTTTGGGTTTTTTTTTCCCCTTTTGCTTCATGTTGGAGATTGGAATGGCTTCATTTGTATTCTTTGGATAAAGCATTCCATGCTGTCCTGGGCTCAGGGCTTGGGATGAGGTGTGATTATCCTTTCCTTTGTGATTATCCTTTCCTTGGCTGGGGGACCGGGTCCTGCTGGAGGATGGAACACGGAGCAGCGAGAACCTTCTAAGGGCATGAGAGGACCTGGAGTGTCACTGGATGAGATGGGCTGGATGCAGGCACTGGTGGTGACAGGGAGGACGTGAGAGCCACCTCTCTCCTGGCTCCTGGGAAATTGGATCCATCCCAGCTGTCCTGGCATGGGAATTCCTTGAGGTCCCTCATCTGAATGTCGCTGCGCTTGCTGAGCAGACACTTGAATCACGATATTGCTGCTATAAATATCAGCCTGAGCCTGGCTCCTGGGGACAGGGAACAACCCTTCCAGACCTCCTGATATGGCTTGAGGAGCTCTTTGGAGGGAGGCTGGCAGATCCTTGTCTCCCAGAGCACGCTCTCTAATTAGGCAGAGGAGGAGGCGGCGTTCCCTGGGAGCGCTGTGCCCCGAGAGCCTTCCCCACGCACTTGGAATTCACATCTCCAGAGCTTGGGAAGAGCTGTCAGCGAGCAGGGAGAGCAGTGTGGTCAGACAGGTTCCACCAGCCTGGCTGGCTGAGGGATGAGCCAGGATGGAGGAGGTTGGTGAGGAGCACTCCGAGGTGTTCAGCACCACTGTCTCCATCTCCCACTGTCCTGGGAAGTCCTTCCTGAAGTTCTGGCAGGGTGGAGCTCCCCTCACCGTGCTGGGACATCAGCATCTTCTCAGGAGACTCCTTTGGCCATGGGGTGAATCCCTCAGCAGCCAAATTTCCATCCCTGGACACTGAGCTCTCCCTCCTCGGCATTTCCCATCCAACATCAAATACAATCCCAAAAACACAATCCCAAAATCCAGGGGTTTTTCTGCCTCATGAACACCCTCCCCCCATCCTCCTCCTCCTCAGCACATCTGGAATTCCTTTAGCAGCCAGCTGCAACAGGATCCTCACCAGAGCCTCGGGAACACCTTGAGCTGGTTATGGCCTCTGAAATTAGGCAGCCAGTAAGGGGAATTTCCTTTAATTACCTTTTCAGGAATACCTAATGAGCACCTAAATAAATGCTGGAATGACACAATCTGCAGGTAGTTACCTTTTCAATACATCCTGCTCCATGGTTTGGAGTTTCACCACTCATTAGGACCTGCAGAAGTCAAGAAAAGTAAAGAAAATGCATGTTAACCCCCCAAAAAAGTCAGTTTTGAACATCTCTATCTTGCAAGATCTGAGTGTAAATGTAGGATTTGCCTTATTCTGGGGGATGCTATCACAGTGAACCAGTGACAGGCTATTAAAAAGTACCCAAATTAAAACAAAAAACAATATTTGGTTTTTTTTATTATTAATTTGGATACCAAAAATACCCCAATTAAAAAAAACCCAAATATAATTGTCCTTTTTTGTCATTATTTTTAAAACCACAACTCTCTTATGTTTTTGTGGCAGCTTTTGCTGCATTTTTTTGTATCCCTTCATTTAATTTTTTTTTTTTAAAAAAAAATATTTAAAAATTATTTATTAAATAAAAAAATTAAAAATTATTTCTTAAATAAAAAATTAAAAATTATTTTTAAATAAAAAAAATCAATTATTTCTTATCATGCCATCACTCTACTGTGACTCTGTGTGACACCTGCTTTTCTTAGTTGAATTTCTCCCTGCAAACTTTTAGTCCTGTGTTATCCCTCTAAACTACCCTGTGGGCAGGACTGCAAACTCGATGGAATCAGGGGCCACTTTTCAGGAAAATGATAAATTTTACCACCATTAACAGCAAGATCTGCCAGTGGAAAGGTTGAAACGCACCTGAATCAGTGATTTTTATCATGTTACAAGGTAAATAAGAGAGATTTTCCAGTTTGGTGCAAAATATGAGAATAGAACATGCTCAAGACTTAACATTTTTTGATTGATCAAATAAATAAATATCCCTGAACTGGGAAAAAAACAACATAGGAGAAAGTGATATTTACATCTGTATTCAAACTATAATTAAATTCTAAATTGCTTGGCCTACCTGCTAATTAAGAAGCTCATTTAGACTGGGTAAATAGCAGTCCCAACATGCCTGTCTGGGATGAACCCAGGGAATCCACTCACTTCCCTGCTCCTAAAAAGATTTCTCTGGAAACTCAACAAATTTCAGCCTCAATGACAGATGGCACCTATGGCCACGCTCCTCCAAAATTATTCCTGATTATTAATCAGGATTATAATAATTATTATTATTATTATTGTAATATTTGGAATTATTAATAATCAGGATTATCATTATTATAATAATAATCAGGATTATAATATCCTGATTAGGTGTTGTTTTAAGCACTGCAGCTAATGAGGAGTAGAGAACAGAGGAAAGAGAAGCCTCAGTTATTTTATTAGAGTTCAAAGGAAAATATCTAGGAATAAACTGAAATTGTGGACAAGACATTGGATTGAGAGGCACAGAGAGTGTGCTCTTATCTCTGATACCTGCCTCTGACATCCTAAAAAACACTGAATTTCATATAACACCCTGAAAATAAACTGTTAAATAAAAAAACTAAGAGTGTGAGTGTATAAATTAAAAAAATTTCTTAAAACACTGAGTGAAAAAGTTAAAGTTTAGAGTTTAAACTAGTTTAGAGAACTGAAGATAAAAGATTTCAAGTGTTGTCTCTTGTCCTTCTTTCTTCTAGAAGTTTTTAGGCAGTTATAAGTGATTAGATAAAGAATGCCACAGTGCAGCACACAGGTGTTGAGTCATTAATTCACTAAGAAAAATAATTTACTTATAAAAATATAAAAAAAACCTTAAAAAATATCTTTATTAGCCATTTTGCACCTTTCTACCTTAGTACACTGAGCTCCTCGTATGAATGTAATGCAAATAAAAGAAGAATAAACAACCAAGTCAAACAAAGAAGAGAAATCTGCCTCTCTCTCATCAATCCCAGTCCAAAAGAGAAAAGAACACAAGCACAAATGTCACATCAAGACATGTGAAGACTAAAATCTCAGGCCAGACACCATCAAACTTCGCTGTTCCTTTCCTTCCACTCCTTGGGATTTGCTGAAGAAATCCTTTGGAAGGCTGAAATGGGTGGATTTTAAACAGGAAGCCACGAAGGGTGAGAAGTGGAATCTCCTCACCCCCATCACTTCTCTGGGGTTTGGGATGGAAAAGTTTTGTTTTGTGGCAATCACAAGTGTTTGTGGTGAGAATACATTTAATGGACTGGGTGGAAAGAAAGGTTCTGCCTCTGAAGTTCAGTGCTGCTCTCTTAAGCAACGTGGATCTGCAAATCAGAGATTTCTTTCCTAAATTAAACCTCTGCTCGTTCTTTTCATTTGATTATTGACATCATAATCAGGATGCAATTTGGTAAATATTCCCAGATTATTTCCGAGCAGCACAACAGGTTTAGTCTAGACTTAATTAAAGAAACAAAGAGAGAAAAATCCCAGCTGCTTTTCTTTTTCTATCATCAAGATTACAGCATTTATCAGTTTGGCTTTGCCTTCTGATTCCTATCACAGATTTCTGCTCCACCACCTAACAAACAGCTGGATGTGCTAAAGAAATAGAACTTTCTTTTTTTCCCCCCTGTTATTCAACATGGAGGTTGGAAAAAAACAAACCCTGATGAAAATGCAGAGGTTCTCCTTGGCATTAAGGAGAAAACTGAGCTTTTCCAAGGAATCCTTAGTTAAGAAGTGACTGAACTCATCTGAAGGTTTTCCATGTCTTTGTTGAAGCAAGAGGAAGTTTAAAGGAAAGTTGTACAAGGACGAGTAAGGATTAACAGGCAAAATCCACAGGGACTCCTTCAGTGCATGGAGGACAGTTCCTGGAAAGGATTCCCTGTGAATATTCCCAGATTCTGTGATCTTCAGCACAGGGAGGACCTGGAGCTGCTGGAGAGATTCCAGAGGAGCCCCTGGAGCTGCTCCAGGGCTGGAGCCCCTCTGGAGCCAGGCTGGGAGAGCTGGGGGTGCTCACCTGGAGAGGAGAAGCTGCAGGGAGAGCTCAGAGCCCCTTGCAGGGCCTGAAGGGGCTCCAGGAGAGCTGGAGAGGGACTGGGGACAAGGCCTGCAGGGACAGGACACAGGGAATGGCTGCCAGTGCCAGAGGGCAGGGCTGGATGGGATCTTGGGATTGCAGGAATTGTTCCCTGGCAGGGTGGGCAGGCCCTGGGATAGAATTCCCAGAGCAGCTGGGGCTGTCCCTGGATCCCTGGCAGTGCCCAAGGCCAGGCTGGGCTCACAGGGGATGGTGGAACGTTCCTACCCATGGATTTTTCAAGGTCCTTTCCAACCCAAAACATTCCACAATTCTCTGTAGGCTCAGCAACCATCGGAGCATCCTGATAATCCCAGTGACAACATTCCACAGTTTGCAGCCCAGAGGGTGGCTTTGCAGAGCGTGGCCACCTCAGGTGTGGAGTGGGCTTGTGGCAACCACAAAACCCAGAATGGCTGTGGGTTTGTCTCAATCCCCAGCTGAGAATTACCTGATTTCACGCTGTGAGCGACGAGCTGAACAACGCAGCCTTCTCCATCCATTCCTGGAGATGATTTTTATCCCAATGAAAACAGAAAAAAGGGATTGCTCCAGTGTGAGTCACCAGGAGTGGGCAGTGTCCAGGACCTGCCTCTGCCTACCAACAAAAAACAGCAAATAAATGTTCCTGCAGCTGAGGACTGGTGGGGACTTGCCCCAAAGCCTCCTGCAAATCGGCTGCTAATGATTCATCAGAGAAATGAGGAATAGCTGTCATGGGCAGAACATTCCTGATACCCTTATCAGCAAAACCTCAGAGCCTGCCTGTACCCATCAGAGTGGAAAGCACGAGGTGTTTAAAAAGAGGGAACAGCAGAGCTCTGTTTGCTCTCCTGGATGGATACAGCTCCTTGGGCTCGAGGGATGCAAGGATTTGGATCATCTTCATCATCTCGGACCTGCCAGCCGCGTGCAGCCCTCCCTCCTGCTGGCAGAAACCAGGCAGAGACAAATGGCTCACCAGGAAAATCCCATTTTTTGATCAGCAGCAATGAAAAGATCTCCCAGCAGAGCCTTTGGTGGCTCTCCAGTGGGAATGACAAATTAGCCTCAGATCCATCAGAGCCACAGGTCACGGCTCGTGTTTCAGCTGCTTCTTCATTCTTTCATTTTTCTTATCAATTATTCAGCAATTAAGCAAATTGTGATTGCGTTTCTCTTGTGGGAAGGGTGGCTGGTAAAATAAAACCTCGAGCCAAAGGTGATCAGATGGCAAAGTGAAAATATTTTCCTTAATTCTGGACAGATCCAATAATCCCAGGCAAAAAAAGATGAAATTTTCCCTGGGAATAAAAATTCAGCTTAGTGCAAAGTAGATATATTTGAAATAATTGTATGAAAAAGAATAGTTTAAGTCCTTATGTTTGTCTGAAGGATTTGCCACAGAGGTATCAAATTTATTTTACTTTGGTGAAATTATAGCAGTGCAAACTCATTAATATTCATATATATCAAAAATAGAACCAGGGTCTTCCTCCTTGCACATCACTGACCTCAAAAAAAAAACCCCTCAATCACATTAACTACTCCAAGGCACCTTTGCACTCCCTTTGAAATGATTCTAAATTAGATTAAGTTACCCCAGAGCTGTGATTTGCTTCCATCAGCCTTGACTTCTGAGTCCAATTAACTTGAATTTAGCAGTAGAAGAGTTTATTTTTTAAATTTTTTGGTGGATTTATTAGAATATCCGTGATATAATTCGGCCAATGGAAAATAAATTTGGTATCTCTGTGGCAAATCCTTAAATAGAGATCAACATTTAATTAAATATTCATTAATTATGTAATTAAATATTAACATTATTTTTTTTCCATACCATTATTTAAAATATATTTACTTTGCACAAAATTTTTCTTCCACAAAATTTTTATTTCACAAAATTTTTCTTCCACAAAATTTTTCTTCCACAGAAGAACCTTTTTCACCTTTAAATGAGCAGGTTATCCTTAATTTTACCCCCAAAAATTAAATCATGCAGAGGGGACATTCAAAAAATTGAAGGAATGCATAGAAATGCTCAAAAGGACCTTCAAAAATTTTGGTTTTCTGGTCATCAAAGATGAGAAAATACAAACTGGCACAAATATTTCAATAATTTTTGCCCTAGTCAAGGGAGACAGAGGCGTAGCCACACAATTAAACTCTGCCCTGACTTGCTCAGCAGCAACAATTTAGAAATTGGAAATGTGCAGGAGTCAACCTTGGGGTGTACACGATTCATTTAGAAGGGATGCTGCCCAAAAATATCTCCCCAAAGCTCGGTGATATTCCCAAACCCAGCCCTTGGAGAGGTTCAGGGAAGGGGAATTTGTCCCTGTGATGGCCGAGGGAGGTTTTATAGAAGTGGGATGATGGAAAACAGGATATCACATCCCTCTGGGGCTGCTTTTAGAGCTGGAATAAGAATTTGCAGGAGGAGCAGACACAACGGGGCAGGTGGAAACGTTCCAGGCTGGGTCAAGGAGGATATTGTGTCTGAGGGAGAGAGGAATGAGCCACAATACAGAGCTTGGCAAGAGAGGCAGAAATTGTTTGGATTGAAATAAAAGATAAAAAAAGACCAAAAGAAGGGAGATAGGAAACTATTGTAGCCCATCTGGAGGAAATCAGAAAGCAGCCAGGAATATTGATGTGGATGGAAAAGGGCCCGTGGTGGCAAAGCTCTGCTGCCTGGGATGGTGTGTGAGGCACAGGGCTCTCCTACCTGCTGCATTTCACTTATTCCTTGATTTTTGAAGCTTTTTGAAACCTTTAGGACTCGCAGCCAACTTTTCTCCTCTCTCTAGAGGCCACCAGCCCAAAGGACATCGGGCTCTCCTCCTCCTCTGGTCCCTGCCCTGAGGTCACCTCAGCCATCCAGATCCAGCTTGAAACAACCCCTCTGGGTTAAACTTTAAACAAAAAGTGATTTAAATCCCGCTGAATTCCCCAGGATGGTTCAAAGGAGGTGGAAAAGGGAAGGAGCAGCCAAGGATGGAGCTCATTTAATCCCACTGAAAATGCAACACGGCAAGAGGGGCCAGCACTTTTCCAGAGGAACAGGATCCAACAGGATTCCCCTCCCTGTTCCCTCCTGGACATCTGGAGGCAATATGGGAGTGGAGGTCAGCAGCCCCACACAGGGAGGGAAAAAAAAATTCATTTAAAAATCCACAAATAAAGTCCCAACATTTAAAGGGATGTAGCACAGAGGACGATGTAATTTCATTACAATGAAAATGGAAATGAATTCTGCATTTGGAGCTTCAAAGCCCTGGCCTTGATCTGTTTTGGGGAGAAAAAAGCCCCCCTGGGGTGCTCAGGTTTGGCCAGGCCTCCAGTGCAGCAGGTGCCAGAGGGGTCCATGGATCCTCTGCTTGGACTGGGATGGACTGGGAAGAGTTCTGAGTGCTGGAGCTGTGGGGCTGAGCGAGCCAAAGGCCACGGCCTGGGCAGGAATTGCTTGGGAATGGCTCCTGGACCCCTGGCAGTGCCCAAGGCCGGGCTGGACGGGGCTTGGAGCAGCCTGGGACAGTGGGAAGTGTCCCCATGGAACGGGAGGGAACGGGATGAGCTTTAAGGTCCAACCCAAACCTCCCCTGGCCCAGCCTGAGGCCGTTCCCTCTCCTCCTGTCCCTGTTCCTGGGAGCAGATCCCAAATCCCCCCGGCTGTCCCCTCCTGCCAGGGACTTGTGCAGAGCCAGAAATTCCCCCTGAGCCTCCTTTGCTCCAGGCTGAGCTTTCCCAGCTCCCTCAGGGATTCTCCAGCCCCTTCCCAGCTCCCTCAGGGATTCTCCAGCCCCTTCCCAGCTCCCTCAGGGATTCTCCAGCCCCTTCCCAGCTCCCTCAGCCTCTCCTGGTCACCTTCATGGTTCCAGGAAAATCCATCCTGCAGGGACGCTGAAAACGAGCTCAGCCCGAGGTTCCTGGATCAGCCGTGGGACATCCCCTGACCGAGAAGGCAGCGCTGCACGAGGTGACAAGGAGAATCCTCACTTATAAATTAATCTGTCCAAAATTCACACAAATTTGCTCCGTTTACAAACAGAAAAAAACCCCAAAACTTAAGGTTTAAACGGTGGAAATAATCTGATGCAAGCATGGGAAGCTGCAGATGTGCTTCCCGTCAGGATCAGGTCAGGCCATCTCCAAAAAAACCTAGAAATTCCCAAAACATCATGGGCAGGTGCCACAAATGGATTGAGAAGGTTCAATTCTGAGCAGCAGGAGGTGAGGAGATAAAAACCAGGAGGAGCATCCAGAAGAAAACACCCCAGGAAAGGAGAGGGAGCGGGAGGGAAGAGGTTTGGGAACCTCACAAAGATCACGGCCAAAAATCAGGGTAAAAACATCTGGGACAGGGGGAGAAGCCTCAGGGATGTGGAGGTTTGGAATATTTCTCCGTTTGGAGAGAAGCTGGATTATATATATATATGTACATACAAAATAAATAAATAATATATACAAAATAAAATTATACATAAAAATAAAAGAAATTTATACACAGAAAAAATAAATGTATACACAGAAAAAAATTAATTTATACACAGAAAAAAAAAATTTATACACAGAAAAAATAAATTTATACATAGAAAAAAATAAATGTGTACACAGAAAAAAAAATTATACACAGAAATAAAATTATACACACCGAAGAACCACACAGGTAAAAAATTAAACGTACAATTAAAATGAAATCATACACACAAAAAGATAATAGATGCCATCAAAGTGCAAAATGTTTTCTGCTCATTGGTAGAAAGCTTGAAATGCCCATTCCACGAGGGATCCCTACCAATAACGAGGCAAAATCCACCTTTTTTTAAAGCTGGAGATATCTCCTGAGTTTCTTGTTGGGGATGGGAAGCATCCCTGCACTGAGGGGCTGCAGAGGGTCCAGGGAAGGGAGCTGGGAAGGGGAGCAGAGGAGGCTCAGGGGGAATTTCTGGCTCTGCACAGCTCCCAGGAGCAGGAGGGGACAGCGGAGAGCCTGAGCTCTGCTGCTGGCAGGGTTGGGCTGGCAGGGATGGATCCCAACCCTGCAATTCCTTCCTGGCCTCTGGAAAAAAGCTCCAAATCCCTCAGGCTGCTCCTGCTTCCCAAACTGCCTGAGAGACAAAACCTGACCCTTCTCCAAAGGCTGGGCTCTGCACCTGTGGCTCCAGCAGCACTGCCACAGGTCACAGGGAACATTGCCCTGTTCAGCACTAATTAAACATTAATGAGGAGCCTCTGCTCCTCCTTTTCCCAGCATCAGCAAGGCAAAAACTTCAATCCATGCTCACAGGGGTGACAGCAACCCCTGGGGACGTGCAGAGCTCCAGCATTGCTTTATAAAGTGGAAATCTGGAGGTGCACGAAACAAGAAAAGCCATTAATCCAAATGAAATTTGCATTTCGATGCAAATCATCCCTTAAAGATTTGAAAATGATCTGCACCCCCTCTGCTGGGCTGCTCCTGATGTGCAAACATTTATCCAAAGGCAAATTTCCAGGAGAGCTCGGCCTGCCAAGCATTTGGAGCAATGTCCCGTCCCTGTCAGGAGTTATTGTGCACCCACACCACGGGCAGATGGAAAAAGAAGAGAAATAACAGAGATAAAGCAGAGAAATAACAACAGATTCCTCAAATAAAACAGAGGAGGAAATCTGGGAAGAGTTGGATTTGCTGTGGGCAAAAATGGAAAGGTT